ACAAAAATACATTTACAAAAGTTACTAGACTCGCCATTCCTATGAAAAGTTTGCAACTTAGCACAACGCTGGATAAAATTTTCCAATGAAATCACTTAGGTCAATGCGTCGGCAGTGTTGATCTTATCATCAATATTGATGAGCTTAAGCGCACTATCAGACACTGTTTGTCTGATATAATAAAATATTGATTTGTAAAATACTGAAGTATTAAAACTTTTTTTTAGAGTTTTTAAATTCGTCGCTGTAGTTGATATTGACTACATATGATAGTATCATGAATATTTTTTTGATGAAATTGTCAATTATGACAAATGTCACATGTGTATAAGACTTTTTTGAAATCACTATTGTCTAGTTATTAAACTCTCCTTTTATATCCTTGGTGTGAATTGTTTTTTAAACTCTTCTCTTTTCTTTTTTTTGGAACTTACTTAATTCTTGTCTTTGAAAATATTTTCTCGAACTATTCTTCATATTCATACCTAAAAGTATCTATCAAAATGATAATTACAAAAATGCTTACAAGTAATAAAGATGGATAGATTGCCGAAGTATACAAACATGATAGAGATGTGGTCTCTTCTTACAAAAATAACCACTACCCTGCACATGAGACATATTTCGTAATAATGTCAAATGTGTTCTAATGACACACAAGATCAAGAAATGATTTTACCACAAACTTGACATTCATACAATGATGTCATTAAAGCTTTGATATTCCTAGCAAAGTTTATAGAACGCATCAGAACGCAAAATGAAATAAAATAAAGAAGGTAGAGAGATAGACTAGGAATATAACTGCTATAAAGGATGACTTAGAGTATTAAGGTAAGGTCATCATTGTCAAAATGGAGGTGAGACAAGCTAATTCATACAAAAGCCGATAAATGTTAAAAAGTCCAACACAACTTCAAGAACATGAAATAAACTTGTTCTTCTACTTCAAAATCCTTCTTTTTCCAGTCTACTAAGCATCGAAATATATTGTGACTCCATGTGTGCGTTCTTCACAGTATTTCAACAATAAGAGTGTCTTCTACTTCAAGAATACAAAAGAAACTTGTTTTTTTATTCCAAAATCATTATTTTTCCAATCTACTAAGCATCGACATATATTGTGACTCCATGTGTGAGTTCTTCACAGTATTTCAACAATAAGAGTAACTTCTACTTCAAGAATACAAAAGAAACTTGTTTTTCTATTACAAGATTCTTCTTTTTCCAGTCTACTAAGCATCGAAATATATTGTGACTCCATGTGTGCGTTCTTCACAGTACTTCAACAATAAGAGTGTCTTCTACTTCAAGCATACAAAAGAAACTTGTTTTTCTATTTCAAAATCCTTCTTTTTCCAGTCTACTAAGCATCGAAATATATTGTGACTCCATGTGTGAGTTCTTCACAGTATTTCAACAATAGGAAAGTCTTCGACTTCTGGTATTGGAAATGCGAGACTCACGAGCAAAAGTGAAGGACGATCTGGTTTCAGCAGCTGGCGCTGGTGCCGTCGAAAGCAGTGGATTCAGCCTGAGCTCGTGAGCCAGTGACTCATTGACCATGGTGGTGGGAGGATGAAATGACCGACTCGTGAACGAGGAGTTTACTGGGCGATCGGGGCCGAAGGCAAAAGGCGGCCTGTGATGCCTTTCTGCGCATGCAGTGCAGCATTGGATGAATCGGAGGCTGGCAGGGATCTGCGCAGGGGCCAGATTCGGGCCGACGAAGTGGCGGTTTCATTCGACGAAGAGGTGTGGTGCTCGTCGCTCCTTTGAACCTTGGCATGGTAGCCCATGCATAGGAGCAAATTGACCGCAGCCTCTGCCTCTGCCTCGCAGATCATCTCCAGCCTGCCTGCGTGCCTGCCTGCGCTGTCGCTCTGGCCGTCTGGCTTTTTGTCAGTCGGTCAGTGAGAGAGTCAGGGAGTCAGTGTCAACTAGGCGCTGGTGAAGTTGTAGCCAAAGGCGCCTCGTGCTTGTGTGCAGACGTGAACTAGATTGCAAGGTCAAATTTGGGCGGGCTTGAGCTCAGAAAAGCTCAGCTCAGCTCGGCTTCAGCTAGAGTGATGTAGCTGACAAGCATGTACACAAGAAAAGGTGCCAGCTGCAGCCGCTAGCAAGCAACAAGCAGCAGCCTCCTCCTGAATCCTGGTGCTGCATACAGTAACTACAATTGTACTACATTTAGTCAAATTGGAGCAGTGCTCCAACTCGGTACGAATGTGGCTGACAGAGACCAGTAAAGCCGATGTGGCCAGGAAGGTGTCTGATATGAGCAAGTGAAGATGACCAAGACCCAGGAGGCCATGGAATCCCAACTCATCTACCCCTACGTACGAGGTATGTATTTATGTATGAGAGAGAGAAGAAGCTCTGCCTTGCGCTGCCATGTTAGACCGACTCATCTGCTCCTTTATAGAGTTACATGGATCATTACGGTCTCTGGTTTCCCGATGTTGTCATAGTTTTAGCCACTACAAATGCCAAAGGTCAACACGTGAGAGAAAGTCTTCCTCCATCATAATTTCTTTCTTCCCTTGCGAACATTATTTTCTTCTCTCTCTCTCTCTCTCTCTCTCTCTCTCTTTTCTCTTACATTCAAAGAAACGAGGAAACTACTTGAATTTATCTTCTGCCTATTTCTCACGATTATCTAACTCCTCGTTTTGGATGGAAGACAGTGCAATCTCTGATATTGTGATGCCAGGATACACTTGATGCTTGATGCCACGGTGTGTGTGCAACGGATGCATCGACAGAGGAAACAGACTTTTCTCGAGAGGGAGCTTAATGGCATAGTTGCATGGAACAACAGCTAATATAATTAGCAACTATAATTAGCACTGTTACTGAGAACTGTAAGATCGAGAACTTGAGCACTTGGAAAATTTATAAATCTTTGGACGGCATGATCTGCTGCTCCTTTGATGATATATCCCATGTTGTATCTGCATGTATGCATGTACAAATCTGAAAAAGGATTGTGTACTCAAGATTTCAAAGTGTCAAGGACCCCAGTGGCCACTGTTGTTGGTGTTGTGGTTCCCAAGGTAAAGTTGACTGTAACATACACCACTTGGATCTAGCTCGGTTTTGACAAGACGAAGCTGGGGCCGAGGTGGGGGAAGGACCTGATTTATGATATGAAATAGTGAAGATGCGCACGAGACCATGAGTTAGCCACCACAGCCATTGTAATCCAGCTAAGCCGGCAGTTTACGAGAGGTACCTCGCAGCCGCAGCGGCAGCAGCAGCAGCAGCAGCAGAGCTCAGCTGTGCTGTTATCTGCAGCTCTGATCTCTGAGCTCTGAGCTCTGAGCTGCTGCTGCGATCTGCTGTGCTCTGGTCCGACTGACAGAGGTGGATCAATAAAGCAGCCACTACTGGTCTGCGGCATCGATGAAACGTACTCCTTACTGCATTTGGGTTGGATGGGACGGCCGGGAGCTGGGGCTGCCTGGGGTCCAAGTTGAAAGCGAGAAGATGCTCTGGTGTAATGGGTGCGATGGGGGGCGAGAGAGAGTAGAGCAGAGCAGGGCAGGGCGGGATGTTCTCTCTAGCCATGGATCATCTGCGACAGTGAAGGTGTGACAGATTCCCTTGTTCAGATCAGATGCGTGCTGGGGGAGAGACGAGGGAGAGAGAGAGAGAGAGAGTACGGAGAGGACCGGTCGTCGTCTCCAGTCTCCAGCCTCCAGCCTTTCTGCAATCATATCCATAAAGCAATGGCAATTCCAGAATCCAGATCTTTTCCCATTCGCTCGCCACTGGCACAACGTACGTTCCAATGCGGTCCTGGGGTTCTGCTCATTCTGAAAATAGGTTTGCTCGCTGCGAGAGCCCTGCGTCTGAATCAATCAGCTACCGTAGGCTTTAATGCTTGTCGTCTGGAGCACCATCATCTCCTCCGTGTTCGGCCACGTGATCTGGGGGCGCCCAGACCAGAACTCCCCCCCAGACCAGATCTCCACATCACCCGCGAGCGAGCATCTGGTGTTGCGGGCCATAAACCCCCTTCCGAGCGTACATTAACGTATACGTAGCCACCCAGTGTACATATTTATATACCGTTCTCTTTTCCCCCTTCAGCCCCAGGCCCGCCTGGGGCAAGTTGGCGCTTGGGCCAGCGAGCGAAGGGCATGAGGGGGCTGGGGCTGGCTGCTGCTCTGGAAGCGAGCGGGGCTAGTGTCTGTCTGTCCCACGCTCGTTACGACATGACACGCGCGCATGCAATTGCATTTGCGTTTGCATTTGCATTTGCAGTGGCATGGGCATGGCACCCGGTCATGTCATGTCCAAGGAGTTTCTCCTCAGGCATAGGCTTCGCGTTGTGTCTGACACATGGTGCGCGAAATTTCTCGCATCGTGGCCCCCGGTTCCGGATCCTCCGTCCGCCCTCCCTCTCCCTCTCCCTCCCTTTAGCCCAGCCCCTCGTTTAGATCGCGGGCTGTCACAAGCCCCGGGCAACAGTGGCACCTAGCCGCATCGGGGGCAGTCGAGCCTGCCCCCGATGCAGGCAGCAGCAGCAGCAGCAGCAGCAAGCACATCTTGTCGTGGGGCTATGGGCTCGCTCGCTCGCTAGAACCACAGGGCCAGCATCCGCCTACACACCGAGAGTGCGAGGCTGTCTCGCTGGTGCAGCAGCAGCTCGTGGGCTTCGCCTCGAGATGCCCTCGCTATGAGGAAGCGAGCGAGCGAGCGAGCGAGCGACTGCTAGGGGGGCACGGCACGCACGGGGCCTCCATTCAGGACGGGGCGGACTGCCTCGTCTTTGCGCCCTTCTTCAGATGTGGCGAGGCGAGGCGAGGCTGTCGAGTGAATGTGCAAGAGCTGGCTGTCAAAGAGAATATGAGAGAGACAGATTCCACGAAATGTGGGATGACAGCAGATGGGCGAAGAATGGAAGGGCGAGCGACAGGTGCGGACGGGGGAGAGGAGTGCGGAAGCTCGAAGGCAAGGACAGGTGGTGGTGGTGGTGGGATCGAATACAGTCATCAATAGCAAACCAGAATGATAAGCTTGTCTTTATTATTCACAAGACGCCATGGCGTCAAAGCATCCCTCTCCTTTGAAGGGGGACCCCCTTGGATACACATATCCACAGACACTTGATCTTTTCTTTTCAAACTTGAAGGTTGGGTTGAAAAAGCTTGCGCAGGCGCAAAACCACGTTCGTCAAAACTACTCTTCGTGTGCTCTTCCGAGCTACTTCGTCAACTAGTAGACATTTTATACAAACGGACCTATTGGTGAAAAAATGCCTGTCTACTCAAAATGCTTCAATCAGGCTGAGTTAAGCAGACTAGCCTGCTGAATTCCCTCATAAACGAAGCCTTGATTTTCTGTTGCTAGAACGACATGAGAGAACACAGCCATTGGACCTACAACTACAGAGAGCCATCGCTCTTTTCTGCACGGCTCTCTAACAGACATAAGGATTATGTTCGGGATTGCTGATGGCTGTGTAAGTACACTCTCTTATCCATCACTATTGTTTCCTCACAAATTTTATATATCTCTAATATCGAACTCAGCTGACCCCAGCATTTCGGCGGAAATTGATGGTTGAGCAGCCGCGTATGAAAAACCGATCATACCAAATACAGTAGAGTTGACAGACTCGAAGATCCATCCTCGAAGAACCCACAAACTTTTACACAGGTCGAAACTCGGAACAGCCGGCGCATCGTTTCATGGCGGGCCTATGGCGTTGAACAAGTCCAGCAGCTGTAATGTCTGCATCAGACACATCCAGACGGGGTGAGATTACGCACACTTGCTTCCTTCCAGCCGGCGTCAAGCTCGGCCGACACGGTCCCCCAAAAATCCAACCCGCAGAACACTTGTCCTCCCGAGAAGGTCCCGACTGTTCCTCTCGGTGGCACTGGTGCCTGCCACGTTCGGACCCGCAAACATTTTCTAATCCTCCCCAAGAATCTTCCTTTCGAGGTCACGGCACGGCACGGCACGAGAGCTTACCTCCGGTACAGAGAGCTGCAGGCGAAACTTCGGCCCATCGTAGTGATGCAGAATGGGCCGAAACGCTTCTTCCTGTAATGGTTTGCAGAGTCTCCTCACCCGGATGCGAACCTGCAACGACGAAGCGCGTCAGTCATCTGGCAGGCCAATGATCTCGACACCGACCGACCTTCAATCAAACCCCACAGCACTCCGGCGTCGATTGCAGAGCTAAGCGTGCAATCGGCCCACGCCGCAATGGCGGGGAGAAAAAACACATAATCATTGCGCTTGCGCAAACAAGTAGTAGCACCGACGAGCTCGCGGCCAATACCTGAGCAGGAAATCTTGACTCGCCCCGGCATTTCTTATCTTCCCAGGCAGTCGGATCTATATTCGAACCTCCAAAACTGGCAGCCTGGAAAATAGAAGAACGAGGCAGGCGCCTAAAATTAGCCCCCGATTGCCACCGACTAGTGATCTGCCAGCGAACGAGAGGTGCGCGGAGAGAGGGGAGGGCAGAGAACTCACCTCAAAAATTCCATGAAGCTGGTGGGTTGTGTAGTTATACAAGAACAATGGCAGGCCCGGCTGAATTGCGCGCACGGAATCCCGATATCTCTGAGGAAGGCCTGCAAGCAGCAGCAGCTGACAGTGAGTTAAGCGGCAGGCCGGCGACATTTGCTCAAAAGGCCCAATAATCCCAAACCCATCGGCCAAATTAGATGCAGAAAAGCACGGGGCTCTCTCTCTCTCGGACGCCAGTTGGTCAAGCTCCAGATGGCGCCGCGAGCGGGGAACGCGCGAGCCGGGGGGCTGCTCGGGGCTAATCCCCGAGAGCCAGCCACGGGCGCCACGAGAAGAGCGAACGTGAACGTGACCCCTGTCCCCCCACAAGCCCAAGCCCAACCACAAGCCCAACCCCCGCCCCCGAGCTGCTGAAAACACAAGGCCTGCTCGCGTGCATCCCGAGGGTTGCGCGGGGAGATTTTCGAGTCTGCGAATGGGGGGAGCTGCGCAGATCGATTGGCCGCTTGCGGAGGCGGAGATATAGATAGATAGAGAGATCCAGGTGGGGTTCGGATTTGAGGGGAGAGGAGAGGAGAGGAGGAAGTACCGAAGAGTTGGCGCTTGAGGTCTTCTTGCATGGTGTCATTGTTGCACACAAATATGTATCCGCCGAGGGTCTCGTGCCGCGGGAGCATTTCGGCCGGGGGAAGAGACTTGAAGCGCTTGTCATGGCTACTGGTTAGCTGAAAAGGAGTGTTCCCATTGAACACACCCGTCATTGACCCCGACTTCTGATCCACCACGGATTGCTTCTTCTCGGCAGATGCTGGCTTCAGTCCCCCGCCTCCACTTTTTTTCTCCCCCCCGGGACGCTTTTTGGTATCGGTTCCCCCCTTCGCTCTTCGGTCCAAAAATCCTCTTTGCTCGTCAAAAGGAAGGGGAAGATTGGGGGGAGCTGCTGCCCACTTCTGATCGCCCGTCGTCCCCCCAAATTCTCCCCCGAACGTCCAGAAAGAATACGAGCTCGCCAGTGGTACTGAGTGAAGTATCGCTCGACCAGAATGAGAAGGAGTTCCTCGATGGGCGACGAGCTGCTCGAGCTTCCGCTTCCTGTCGAGGAGGCTGAGGCGCTACAACTATTCCTACGATTTTGCAGAGCGAATATCAGCCCCGAAAACGCTGAGCACTTGCAGACTTCGGTTGATATAATATTCATTTAAAAGTTAAACTTTCTGCCTACACATAGAGGGCGCCAGCCTGCAAATGTTGATGCTTATCTTCAAACAAAAACCCCAGGTATCTGCTGCGCCCTCTCTCGAGACCGAACCTAAATCGTTACTTCACTCACGCCCTCGTCTTCCGTGGGTCCGCGCTTGCCCACACCATACATAAGCCCTGTGTTGGAGATCTCTCCCGTCGAGTCGACCTCGCGCTCGCCACCGTCGAAATCATTCGATGATTCTTCGCTACAAAATTACCATGACTCTCGAGCCGATACTGTCAAAACTTGCACTCGCACTCGCACACACTCCGGCGACGCGGCTGTCGACGGGCCCTGTCTGTCCAATGTCGAACGACGTCGTCGTCGTCGTCGTCGTCGGTCCGCACAGCCTTCGGGGTTCGCTTCGCTCGCACGGGCGATATCCTTCCACGTTCCCTCTACGGCTAATCTAGAATTCTCCGCCCGCCGCGCGAGGCGATGAACAACCCTCCAGCTTGCTTGCTTGCTTGCTTTCGTATCGAGAAAACGAATCCTAAATTTGCCACTGACTGGTATCTAAAAACTCTCTCAAGGCAAAACAGGCCCGCCGGGACGCAGAGATGAAAGTCGGCTTAATGCGCCACGGCGCTCCAGAACTCTGCGCACGACCCAAGACAAACGCGCACGGTCAGACGAGCTACAACTGAGCTTCCCACGATGCACTGGCACATAAAAATAATTCAAACGCGACGCAGCGCTGTGCTTCGCGCGAGAGCTAGAACTAGAATCAGGAGGGCAGAGCCCTCTAATTTCGACGAGACGAGGTCGGCAGGGTTGCGACGGGGAGACGACATGCTCTCGACAGAGCCACGGCGCGCATGCACGCAAGCGCATGTCAGTGGGGAAATTTTTGGGAGACGCCGAAGCCGGAGGAGGCCAGGCGATATAATAAAGACGGGAAAACCCCAGAGGAGCAAGCGCGTGCACGTGGGAAGAAATGAGGTGCCAAGATTACGCAATGTGCTGCGCGCACAGGCGTGCTCCGAGACGCTAAACCCAGAATCAAGAAGAAAAAGAAGCCCTCGGGCAGTGGCCCTCGGACAAATCGAATCGTGCGCAGCTTCGACACGCGACGCACGAAAGAACCTCGAAGCATGCACGCAGATTTGAAGTGCAAAAAGGCGCGCAGTCGCCCCCGGCCGAGCTCGAAAACACAGCACAGCGAGCGCGAGCGCGGCCGGGGGCTGCTTCAGACGAAGACGACGACGACCGAGGAGCGAAGCGCGAGAGGGCGGGACACTTACAGAGTGTATCGAGGTTGGAAGACGGAGAAGCGCTGTAAGAGGACTCTGGAGTCGAGCGCTGGTGGGAGGCTGGCTGGCTGGCTGGCTGCACGAGGAGAGAGAGACCCTTGCACGAGAAAAAAGCTCGACGAGACAAGAGGAAGGAGGAGAGGAGGAGGAGGAGGAAGAGGAGGAGGAGGAGAGAGGGGGCGGTGACAGAGGAACCGGGGAGATCACAGACGGGAGAGACTTCAAAGCTTTCAAGCGCAGGGCATCGACGAGATAAAGGAAGGAAGGGGGGAGGAGCTGCGATGTGCCGAGGAGAGGAGGTGGAGCCGGGGAGAGAGCAGGGGAGGGGAGGGGAACGAGATTCGGGGCTCGAGCGACAGACAGACAGACAGACGGGAGCAGAGCGCGCAGAGACAGAGTAGCGGAAGGAGGGAGGGAGCGAGAGCGAAGGAAGCGAGGGAAGTGGAGGCAAATGAGCGCTGCCCTCACTACTCGCACCCGAGAGAAGATGACACTGCGACAGCCGATTCGATTGCCGCAAAGACTGGCTGCTGGCTTTTGGCTGTGCTGGCTCCGAACATGGATGCCAAGCGAGGCTCAGACCGTCTTACCGTCGCTCCTCTCTCTGTCTGTCCCCCTTTCCCTTTTCTCCCCTCCTCTTCCCTCCCTCCTTCAGTCCTTCAGTCCTTCCTCCTCCGCTGCCCCAACCCCAACCCCAGCCCCAGCCCCAACCCCCAACCCCGCAACCCTTCCTTTCCGTTCTCTCGCGGCTCTGCCGGTCCACTTCCACTAGCACTAGTCTAGCACTGCGATCTCCCTCCCCCGCACAGATGCTACGGCCTGCCGTAGGCGACTGCCGCCTGCCCGCCCGCCTGCGTGCCTGCTGCCTGCCTGCCAAGCTCGCTCGGTCGCTCGTTTGCTCGCTTGCTTGCTGCACTTTCCCTCCAACAGGCCGGGGCCTCGCTGCTCGCTCTTGTCGAGCCTGGCGCTTGTTTTGCTCGGCTGGCCTGGCCTTCCAGCGAGTCAGTCAGGGGGGTGGGGGTGGGGGTGGGGTTGGGGGAGAGGAGTGGAGCCGAGGCGGACAGGCTCGGCGAGAACCTGGTTGCACGCGTTGCAGGGGCGAGGGTTGGGGCGAGCCTTCTGTCGCCGCAGTGGCGACCCGAGTGGGGCCTGGAGCAGTAATTCAAACTCTCAACCGGAGTGAATCGGTTCAGTCCACCGGTTTTGGAGAGCCGAGCCTCAGGAGACCGTAGGTAAAGTAGCTTACACCCGCGAGAGCAATTAGGCTTGGCATTATTGGAAATAATATCTGCAGCCGCTTTGATTGACTGACTGGCAGCGTCCCGGACCAAGATCCAGACACCCCCACTGACTGACGACGACGATGACGACGACGTCGTCGTCGTCGTCGTCGTCTTCTTCTTCTTCTCCTTCTGCTTCCCTCCCCTCACGGGCGACGGGAGCTCGGTCCACTTCAGGCAGGGCAGGGCAGGGCAGGGCGGTGCGGGGCAGACAAACACGCCGGGCGGGCGGGCGGGCGGGCTTAGAGGAGGGTGGGGATGCGGCGGGCTAGCGCGAAGCCCGATGCACGGCTGGGAAAGCGGGGGGTGGGGGAATGGCCCGCCCTTGCTGCCCTGCCCGGCCCCGCGCGGGGCCTGCTCTCAGATTCCTACACGGTCCCCCAGTGCTTGAAATTTTCGCTCCACGACCGGCAGCGTGGCCTGGAGCACGCGGCAGCATGATGGGCAGGCAGTGCGGGCCTGGGGCCGTGCCATGTCCCCGTCCCTCCGAGGGACTGTGGCCGCTGCATCAGCCCTGTTCCCCGCCATTCGCCTCCATGATCCCCGCCCTGGGGCCTTTACTTCCTGGTGAAGAAACTCCGCTCCGCTCCGGCCAGGCCCCCCGGAGGACTTCCCGACCGCCGAGAAGCTGTCACCGACACGACGATCGTCGGCCTGGCCCCTCGCTGGCGAGGCCCGCCGGAACTCAGCCTTCGCCGGGTACCGGCGAGGCCAAAAGGCTTTATCCGTGACGAGCTCGACGGCTGCCGTGAATGCTCGTTTACGGCAGCCGGGGGAAGGATGCCAGGCCCGGATGTGCATGTCGAGGACCCGACCCCATGCCATGCATGCGTACATGGGGCCAGCCAAGGGCATGCGCCGGGCCCTGGGACAGCCACGTTACCATGACGTCAAAACGTCTTGCCACGCCCACTTACCGGCAGGTTTGACCGGCACGACCGGAGTATATCACTATCCTCCCCACCCCCCTGAAAATAGAGGCTAAGGGAAGATCGCGAAGTCAGAGGCCCATCCAGTCCTTGTCCTAGCCCCGGCGAATCAAGCCCAGCCCCCTCCCGGGCCCGGAAGCAGTATCGCCACCCCAATCTCGGCGGGTACAGATTATCCATGCGCTCCCGTTCTTAGCTGAGCTATGATTCATCTCTCTCTCTCTCTTCGATAACATGGCACATGTCGTGTCCCCCGGAGCCTAGACTACTCGAGTCCACTTCTCTTCCATGTGAGTTTTCCCACACTTCTCCGAACGAGACGTACCACCTGAACCGGACACAGTCTTTCGGTCTAAATCTGAGTTCGTTACTCTTCGACCTGCTTTGCTTGTGAGAAGTAGAGTCCATGTGGTCATCACGAATTTTTGAAGATGACCAGCTCGATTAAAAATGGATTTTAATAGCCTCTTGTGTTCGGAGGAGCTCCGAGGAAGTCATACTTGGGCTCGTTGTTTGCTCGTTGCACTCTTTGATCCTTGTTCGATGGAGGTGTAATGCTACATGGTTGTTGATCCTTGTTCTTCTTACTCCATGCATTGCTGTTTGACCTGAAGCCAGGGAAGAAAATTCCCAGCGAGGGTGATGTTTGAGTTCCGGTTCAGACAATGACACGAACCGAATGTTGTGGAAAGAGAGAGATATGTTACTGCATCCATGTTACTCGACTGGTTGGAAAGTGCTGTCCGTATGAGATTTATCCCTCACGTAACTTTTTCTTGGATGAATTTTCTCTGGAACACAATGGAAATGTCTTGTTTTTATCGAGGAGTACAACTTATCTTTCAATCCTGCAGTTGGAAGAGCTGATAAATTTCGCTGATCTATTTTGATTCAGTCGACTTTCAGTAGTGTTGCCTGTGAAACTGTTCTATCCTCCCCTTCCTCAGTCCATGCGACTTGCTCACCTCATCTTTAAGTTGGAAGATGACTAAAGTATATTCACGCATGACAAATAAATTTCATTTCTCAGCTTCAATATCAAATGAAGAAAAAATAAATTCCTAATTTTTACCAGGTTTTCCATTTTTGCAAAAGTACGTTTATGCCCAGAAATTTGATTCATAATTTGATTTCGTCGAGTGTTTTAAATTTAGAACAATTATAGAATACTAAATCAGATGTAGACATCTGGAAAATACGTGTATCATTGTGACGAGACTGAAGCCACGATACAGAATGCACACCTGATATCCGATTCTGATGGGGGTGGTTTTCTCTCGTCCATATTTGGGATCGTGCAAAATGTCCATTTACAAGACAAGAGAGGAAGCATGATGGAAACGAAAATGCCAAAAGCAAGATGAGCTCTGAAGTCGAAGGGTTGTTGCCCGTAGACCTCTCCAGAGCACGAGTGTGGGGGCTGCTGCTGCTCCTGATGGTGGCTGCTGCTGATGATGGATGCGTATGTATGTGTATGTGTATGCGGGGGGCTGTGGGGGGCAGTGGGGCTGTATGTACATGGTGGCTGATGGATGTGTCGCCGCCGCCGCCTGCGAGGAGGAGACGAGAGTACGAATGTTGACAAGACTCGAGAGGGGGAGGGGGATTCGGCGGGAAGTCGCTCGCCATAAAAGTGAGTGGGATTTCCCGCTTCGTGGGAGGGGAGGGGAATTGTTGCCCCAAGGGGCCTGAGCGCCTGAGCCCCCTGAGAGGCCCCCTCGTCCGAGGCGATGCCGGGTCCTCGCTCCGCTCTCGCACTCTGAATCTTTCCAAGCCCCTGCCTAGGCCCCATGTAGACGGTCTCGGCCGCTGCTGCCCCAAAAGTACAAGCCCAGACGAGCCGAGATACAATTTCCGGATAAGACAAGGGCCAGAAATAACCGTGCCGCGTGTCAGAGCGATAGCGTCGACGGAGAATATCACCGATTTGTCCCCCTGCACAAGTATTCGCTTTCCTTCCCCTCGCTGCACTGCGGTAACCCCATTTTACCCTTCCCCACAGGACATTCTCACTTTACTGCCGCATGCAGTTCATGCTCTGACTCCAGGTAAGCTATATGCTGCTTAATTGACCTCACTCGCTACTAGGACATTATCCGGCTACTCGCGGTTAGGCCTCTGCGATGTCTAAATTTGGATAGGGCTGCTGACCCGGGTTAGCTTGCAACCCCACCCAGCCCCAGCCCCAGCCCCACCTCGCCTGACCTGCCCTGCCCTGCCCTACCCTGACCTGACTTTACATCGAGGGCATCGTTCAGGGAGCACAGTTGGTCACATCTTGCCCCGAGTTGCGGTAAGAAAAATTGACCCGGGGGGAGGGTAGAGTGAAGCCGAAGGAAAATTCTAATTCGAGAAGGGGTTGGGTCGCAGGCCCCAGGAGGACCACAGTTCAAAGTGGACCTTCTCTTCTCTTTCTGCCCAGATGATTCTCGTACTGCAGATCTTCGAACCTTAATCATCGTCGCGCTGTTGTAACCATTTCTTAATTATTGTCACCAACGAAGTTAAATCGAGTCGAGACGAGTCGGGTAGGGTGGGGTAGATTTGAATCCCCAACCCCAACCCCACCCCCAGCCCCAGCCCCGACCCCAGTTCACAACCCTGCAGCCCGGCCCCAACTTCGGGGCTCGGAGGAACGTTGGCATCCCATCCGCCCAATCGATGCAGCTGAAGCTTCCATGAAAGGGAGGGAGGGATGGCATTTTCCATCCCACATGAAAATCCATCATCATCATCATGAAAATTCGAAGCCCCGTTCTTGAGATTCGGCTGGCCACGCACTGTTGGCGCAATTCTCATCTATATATAGCCGAGTTCGGCCATCGAGGCTGGAGAGAGAGCCGGTCAAGAGCAGTACGAGCATGTAGGAGGAGGACGAGGGACAGGAGCAGGAGCGCTTCGCAAGGGGCTTAGAGCCAAACCGGAGCATGTTCCGGAGGAGCACTTCCTTCCATCCATCTATCCATCCATCCTTCGTTCCATCCATCCTCTGGTCAGTGTGCGCAAAGGACCACTACGGAGGCGACCATAAAGATTGGAAACAGGAAGTTGGGCGGGGGCAAGCGGACGGACGGACGGACGGACGGAGGGCCGGCGGTACAGGCGCGCGGGGACATGAGGCTGCGGGGGGTAGAGTTACTATAGGAGGGAATGATTGCACAAGAAAGAGTGAAATTGGTTCTTAGACAAGAGTCGTGGCTGCGAAGCGAAGGAAGAGCCCGGTCAACAAAAGCATCGCTTACCTGGGTTGGAGAGCAAAGGGGTGGTCAACACGATTTGACAAGCCCCGCAGACGGACTTCGACTGCAGTAAGGCCCCATAAAAATTCGCGTCGAGCCTGCCTTGGAACACAAACCAACAGTGTTGGAAGGTTGTGTGGGGGCCACGGTCTCTGCAGTCCTGTGTGCCAGAGGCCTCTCCTC